CACAGAGTTCTTTGCAAAAACACTAGGCTATTTTAAATTTTTCAAAGCACTCAATATATATATTTAAATGAATTTGCAAGAATAGAATGAGAACCATTTTCTCATTCTAAAAGAGAAAGAGGCACAGAGCTCTGAACACCACCTATACACAGAATATCAGCCTTGATTCTTGTCTTCAATTATCTAATACAATAACCAGCAAAGCAATAACCATTTCACTTTTACGATTTGGCACACAGAACAGTGTGCCTGCCACAAGTATGCCTGTAAACTGCAGAGGTGATCGATAAATTCACTGAATGGTGAATCAAATGCCCGCTTGTGAGCCACATACACTTGAACAATATATAATGAGCCACTTCTTCAGTAACCTAAACAGGACCGAGCTTACCCAAACCCCAACAGCTTACTTCTCCTACAGAATGGAAATATACTCCATGTTTTTGTTTTTGATTAATAAGCGCACTGGGCAAAGGAAGGACACTCAGAGACCTCCCTCTGAAGACAGTGAACAACCTGTTCAGAATGCTCACTTTACAAATCAGTCATGTGCTCTGATACCAACAGAGATTTCACAACCTTAGTATGTTTCCTCCTGCAGGTAGCTGGCTAGTTAGTGCCCCTGCAGTGATAAAATTTACCTCTCCAAGGAAGTGCCCAAGAAAATGCTTTTTTGCAAAGAATAAAAAAAAAGCCCTACTGAACGCTTGAAGAGGGGTAAGGGCATACTTTCTGTTCTTTTCCAAAAGCGAAGAGAATATTTTATTCCAAGAGAATGAGATTCATGACTCAGACACAAACAACAACGACCAATCAAAAAGTTCTCCTGCCACTCTCGTTGTATCTTAAAAACAATGCTAGCCACATTCTTTTCCAACCCATTAGTCTTGCCAGTCCCACGTGGCATTAGCATAAATGTTAATGCAGACAGCAGCCCCTCAAGCAAGAGGTCTTTGCCCCCAACCAGTAGCCATTTCCACTAATACAACAAAGTCCTCTTCAATGGGAAGGTATCTTCTGACCTCAGTGATATGGTCTCCCTTGGGTTGTGGGGCATAAAGAACCCAGCCATAATGCTCACCTCCTCTGAGGAAAGTTTAACACAAAGGTTCATCCCTATTCTTTAATTATTCTTTCAGTATGCAATGTTCTGGACAGAGACTTCGCACAGTAATTTTGCAAGCATCCCATCTTCTTACCAGTATTTGTTTTGTTGCCTTGGGCACATGACACGCTTACTGATCACAGATGGTTCATTTCATCTTTTCCCCTATGAAAAAGAAAAAAAAAAAGTGCAGGTCTGGGGGAAATCCAGATATTCCTTAGGCTAGCAAAAGGGAATATACTTGACGGTCTCATTGAGATGCCTCATTTTTCAAAGGCCCAGGGAAGGTCTGATTCCCCTGAGCACACAACTCCTTAATGACAACAGAGATTAGAATTTCTACTCACAGATACTGGGCCAAGTAGTACTGACAGATTCTAAGACCAGAGCAGATCTGGAGTGTCCCACATGCCCACACAATCACAACTTCAATTCTCACTCCCCCAAATGAATGCCCTCCATTAGTTAATGTTTAACCACATTAGAAGAAAGCCCCAGCCTACTGCCCCCACCCCCAACAAGCCCACTTGGTATTTTCTCTCAGCTCATGATGAGAACAGAAAGGAAAACACTTCCCTCTGTTTCAAGAGCTACAGGACCATGCAGTCCTTTGGAAGGATCTACTGTTCTACTGACAGTAATTTAAATTGTTCCCCCATTACACCAGCAGCTACCAGCTGTCACATGCATTCCACCAGCCAATCCCGATCCCACTTTCCAACTCCTTCATCTCACTGAACACTCATGTCAACATTCTGAATACACAATGTTACCCACTCTATGTCACAGGTGGAGAAAGGTCAAGTGACCTCTCCAAGTCACCCTGTTTCAGTTCCATCCTACCTAATCTGCATCTTTCCAACGGGCAGGGTTTTCTTTTTGTTAATGGTCCAGGTTGGTGGCAGGTCACTTAGAATCTGAGCCCCCAGCTGTTTTATGAGCGTTGAGTCTGCTGTATCTACTTTCCAAGACTGAGATTTTGATTCACCTTTTCTAAGGTTTATCTTTCCAAATGTGATCCTTAAAACCCAGACTTCAAGACTGCATGGTCTGTATTGTACCACTTATGCTAAATTTATCACAGAACCATCTCCTTAGATCAGAGTAGACCCAGCAGTTCCCTGAATGAGTGAATTCTGGAGGATTTCACTTATCAGAATGCCCTCGAAGGCACAGGACCTCAGAACAGCACCCTCTGGAGGGCTAGCAGACCTCCCTGAACTATCCACCCAAGCTGGACTTCCAGGCATGAACTGCTCTCACTTCTTTAAGAAGCCAGAAACGAGGCAGAAAAGAGCACAGGAGATGTGGTGATGGTGCACAGATAAACTATTGGTAGAAATTCTAGAAAAGAAAGCAGACATTTTTTAAAAGAAAATGAAGGGCTCTCCCTGCTGGTGCAATGGGCTAACATGGCACAATGAAGCTCTCCAAAGCAGCATGAGCTCAATCCCCAATCAGGGAGCTTACCCATATGGTGTGGTAGATATCTCCTGACCCGCCTGCTGCTCCTCTCAGCAATGTATTTCAGTAGATCTGCCTATTCTCTTCCCCTCTCTGGTCTCTGGTGAATTCTCTCACCCACAACATCTCTAGCCTGTACCCCAGTTCTGTATGCAAAAATAAATCTTTTTTTAAAAAAAAAGAAAATGAATAATAATGTAAAATGTATTTAAATTTAAAAAATAAATAAATTCACACATAAAAAAAGTCAGGTTAAGGCCCTCCCTGGTGGCGCAGCGGGTTAAAGCACAGCACAAAGAAGCTTAAGCCACTTCCGCATGAGTTCGATCCCCGCCTGCCCCGGAGGTGACCACATGGCGTGGCAGACCTCTCCTGACCCGCCCGCTGCTCCCCTCAGCAGTGTGCTTCGTAGACCTGCCTGTTCTGCTCCCTTCTCTGTCTCTGGTGAATCCTCTCACCCTCCACATTTCTGGCCTGTACCCCAGTTCTGTACGAATAAATAAATCTTTAAAAAAAAAAAAAAGTCAGGTTATTTAGCTGGTTTTCAACCAAAACTAAGGCTTAAGGAAAATACCCCATCACACATATCAAAAGATAATCAATGCTCCTGACTTAACCTAAAGATTAAAACTAGAGCTCACTGTTTTGAAAGATTGACTGTGAAGTGTTAATTTTTTTCAGAGGCTTCAGTGTGGCAGCCAATGTGCTATAAATGACCATTACTATTTAATTAATAATCCCTATGGCAGTGTAGTCATCACTTGGAGTATTATCATCTAAACATGAATTAAACCCAAGACACCTTAAGCTCCCTTCACCACACAAGTCAAACTCTAAGTCCCACCCTAGGGGCACAGTCTGAGCAGATGTGAGAACCCATAAGACAGTGTGCCAGCAATGTGTAGAATTGAGGGTTAAACATTTATCTTGACTCACCTTCCCACACTTTCTCCAAGTAAATTCTGAGAGCTCAACCTCAGTAAGAACTTATAAACAAGGATGAAAGTCCGGAAAGGGAATCTTTGATCCGTACACTTCTACATGAATAGTCTGGCTTTAAGACTTTACATTTTTCTTTCTCCGGAGTACTTGAAAGGACATTCCACCAGTGTCTGTTCAAGGTCATCATATTTTTGAGTAAAAAAGGTAAAGGTTAGAAGCTATGCTCATAAGAACGCAGCTGAGTGCCCGGGGGCAAATGTTCGCTCTCAAGTTATGGTTGAAATATCTGTGTTAAGTCAGGAACCTTGTCAGCAGAGACTTTGGCCTATCCATAAGAGAAAGATTGGTTGCCGGTTGAAGTTAAGTGAAGCCAGTAAATTAGATGGGAAGTCAACTCTGGAAAAAGCTGGATGACACCTTCCTTTGCCTGAATTATTGGTAAAATCGCACAGTACTGGAGGCCTGGCCTCGGCACAAATGGCAGGCAACCCATGACACTGTCAGAGCAGAGCATCATTTCTGCCCTCACCTCGTATGCCCCAGGGCCTCTGCTAGACTCACATTGAAAATTAAAATTAATTCTGTTAAAAAGTCACCCAGGTGAGGCTTTGCATTGCAAACTCATGCACAGACAAGCCCAATGTCTCCACACTTTATGGATTATTAACTCTGTGGTTCATGAAGACTCTTAAAATCAGGGTGCTTAACATGTCAGGAATGTACCTATTAAGGAAAGATGTCTCACACAGTGGAAGGTGCTTAGGTTCTCTGGAAATATGGCCACCTCTGAAACTGGCTATACCCCTACACCCTGAAGACCATTCAGCAGGCTTCTGAGAGCTACCACCAGAAGCTGCCAGTGCTAATTAACGCATGGTCTCCTTGGGGGGTGGTACCTGGCTGGCAGATAAAGCTGCGTCTTGCAGCAATGTTTGGAGTGGGGAGACAAAAGATCACACTTGATTGTAAGCTTCTTGAACGCAAGACTGTGTCTCACCATTGTCAATGGGGTGAGAATCAGCATCTCCACGTTCATTCCTGCCATACACCATATCCCCTAGAATATGTTCAGAATTACTTACTGAGTTTTGAATGAACAGATATTTTCAAAACCTGATGCTAAAGTCAGCACCCCTGATTTGTCTTCTCGGTGTCATCCTATACTGTCAATATTAGTAGGTACACAAGCAGTACCCACTGAGGGCCAGCACCATGCCAGTAGTGGGTGGGCGAGTCCAGGGGCAGGGACCCTATGATGCATTGCAGCATTCAAGCTCTTAGCAAACAGTACTGATTCCCTTCCCAAGTGACCAGGGCATCCTAGGACTTGGAAATGCTACAGATGCTCTAAATTATTTCTATAGTCTTTTCATACAGTCTTTCAAGACAGAATTCATTCCTCTGAAATTATCTAATTCTTTTTTAAAATACTCCTTGTTTTCCTGTTTTTAAGCAGCTAAAAGTTGGGATTGCTTTTGTTTTTTCCTAGGAAAACCTCTTTTTTGTGATGGAATATCTCAATGGAGGAGACTTAATGTACCACATCCAAAGCTGTCACAAATTCGATCTGTGCAGAGCAACGTAAGAGTCCCTAAAGGGTTTGGCTTTTTCTCCTTGTTTTTTTCAGCACTGTGTCCCCATCATGCTACAAACCACTTACACCATGTGGGATTCTTCCTGTTCCTTCACTCAGCATGCCTGAAGCCCAGGGAAGGGTAACTCCTGGGAATAGGCAGAACTAGGCAACTGCTTTCGCTGTTTGTGAAGCTTCAATTCGTGCTGGTTTTGTTTCGTGTTTATGTTTTTTGAAATCTACTACTCAGAACCATCCCAATTCGTGAGGCTGCTAAATGATCTGAGCCCACAAGGAAATATTTGCCCTTTGAAAATAAAACAGCCAAATGGAACTCAGCTCTGAAGGTGGCCACGGGGAGGAAGCTTTCACTGAGCTCTTAGTGGGAAGTTGGTGAGCAAACAGAAGGCACTGACTGCAGGACACGGGAATGAAGGGGGGAAACTGCTGTTGAATCCCCAGGGCCCCATCATGCTTCCTCATGGGCACCCCGTTTCCTAATTAGTGAAACCACTGTGACATTGAGAAAGAAGGGAAACTGTACCACCCATCCTCGTTAAAAACACATGCTTTGCTTAAGTCCCTACAACCTTTCCCTCACCGCAGTGATGGCTATGAGTGGTTCAGGTTGAGCTAGGTTCCACCACCTGTTGCCAACACCAGGCCTGAAATGGCCGTGTGGCAAACCCAGTGCATAGTAGGCTGCTGATCTTGTTGTCTCTGGCAATCATAAGCAAAGGGCCCAAAAATAATCGTATGGGATTCTGCAGGAGAGAAATCCCTGGGTATTTTTCTGACTAGAAAGGATTTACTCAGTCCCTCCGTGGCCAGCTCTGGAAGGCCTGAAAGCCCTCAGGTCCAGGACCCGAGTCTTCAGAAGGAAGAGGTAGCATTCTTCTCAGAGACTCCAGGAAGTCCTTCCTTACCTCTGACTTGAATCCCACGAGTAATAGAGTAAATTCATTTCCTGTGAGTCCTGTGAGTCTGGTATCATAGAGGATGGAATGCAGCTTATCACCCCACATCTTCTAATATCCTGCGGCCCCTCATAGGCTGCGTGGCCTGCACATAAACAAGTCCAGTCTGTTTGGAAAGACCTTGCATCCAGGGTTGAAGGGGTCCAGGAAGTTTCAAACAAAAGCGAAAATTACTTTCCCCTCGGCTATCCTGTTACCTTTAGTGTTTGTGTATGTTTTATCAGAAGAAAAAAAAAATAAAGACCACTTGAATGATATTTAAAGATAAGTGTAAGATGCAGGCAGGAGAAACTTAAGATTCCAGCTGTTTCCTTCTCTGCGGGCTGAGGGAGGACGAGACAGTGGATGATGTCTTGCCTCTGTCAGGATTAGACAAAATGGTGTGTGTACACCTATCAGGAACGCATGAACCTCCATGGGCAATGTCTGTACCCAGAGGTGATGCGGGCACACCATGGGGCGTGGGCACAGCTGCATGTGCACACCAGGTAGCAGCATGGCACGCAGAGCACTCACTGGATACCACAGCAGGCCAGGCTTGGGGTTTTGAGTTTCCTCCTCATGCATTCATGCTGAACTTTGCTTTTGCTTTCCTCAGGTTTTATGCTGCTGAAATCATTCTCGGTCTGCAGTTCCTTCATTCCAAAGGGATTGTATACAGGTAAATCTTACTCTTGGGAAACATGTGCTGAGGTGTCCAGATTCTCTGATCTGGTCAATTTGGTCACTGCATTTTAGTATGTGAAATGGTCAGTGAGCATCTCTGGCATAAAGTTCTATACCAGGCTTCCTGCCTATGGAGGTGACATAGAGACTGCAGTTCCTGTCTCAAAAGCAGTAAGGTTCTGGTGTTACTCTAATCTTGATTTCTGTTCTTCCCTTTATCCTCCCTCTTCCCTCTGTTTTTCCCATTTTCCCCATCATTCTGTTCCACTTTAGCTTCATATCATTACTCACCCAAACCCTCCCCAAACCCCCAGTCCTGTTTGGCTTTCCTATATTTGTTTTGGGCCACCCAGAAATGCCCATTGTTTATTATCCTTTTTGGGGGTGGGGGGTGGATTGCAAGGGGAGCTCTTTCTTGAACACTCAAATGCACCTATGGAAACCTGTCACACTTTGTCCAAGTGAGCAGGACACCCCCTGTACACCTCTAAGGAGTGGATGTCTGTCCAGTTGCTGCTCTTGCCTCACATCCTTCTGATGAAGCCCACTGTATGTTCCTCAAAGCACAGCCCAAACTGGTTAAAAATACAAATCTTCAAAAGCTTAGTTGTCTGGTTCCGATTCTGTGCAGATTAAGGAGAGGAAATGCATATAAAATAGAGGTGCTAGAGATGAGGCTGGCTTGGCTGCTGAGACCTGCAGAGGCCACAGCTAAAGGACTGTCCAGGAACCTGCCCACAAGGGCAGACACCCGCGGGCCAGTCTCTCATCAGTGGCCATGTTCACAGGAACCAGAGGAGCAGTGAAGCCAGAATGATGTTCCAGCCCAGATGCTGCAGACAGCACCCTGTGAAATAGATGGGAATGTTGTGCCAGGAATGGTCTGTACTGCACTTTGGTGCTCACAGATGAGGCTACTGTTATCTGGAAAATTCCCTTAGGGAAACCTCTCCATTTCCAGAGGGTACCAAGAGTGGGGCTAAAGTCTTGGGAGGTTTTAAAAGAATCTTCTTAAGCTGTTTTTTTTGGCAGTCTTTAGAAATCATTGCTTGGTTGGCTTGAGGTTTTGTTTTTTAATCTATCAAAAAATAATTATTTAAGAAACTATCTCATGCCATTCTTTAGTTCTCAGGAAAGTGAAAAATACCCAACATTTTTTTTTAAATCCTGATCATGTGGGGTTTATTTTCCCCTTTTATCTTTTTATCTGCAGTATACCTATATAAAAACAGAGAAAGTGTGGGGCAGATGGATGGATAAATGGATAGATGAGAAAAATAGAGAAAAAGTAGGAGACAGCTCTCTTAGAACTGAAAAAGACCTCATAAGACCACAGGCTTCCACAGAAATCATCCCTCCACATCACAGTGCTTCCTTTTTTAATGTCTACTTACAAATTATTGACATTCAGAACAAAAAAGATCAGTAAGGTCCATCAGTGTCTTTAATACCACAAAGTACGTCTACCTTTGAGGTCTCACTATGTTTATGGACAGAAAATCATGTTTTAGAAGGCTACTTATATGCCAGCAAGAAAGAGTACTGGGATTACTTAGTAGCATTTCACTGATGATCCTTGAAGGCATCAACAAATTATCACAATTGAGGTGAGACCATCCTGGAAGACCATCACATTGAGACTGACTTGCCTTAAGAAGTAATTCAAGTGCCCAGGAGTCACTTCAGAGAGCTTTCCATTTAGCAACTGAATTGACAAGGGAATTGCATGAATGTCCTCCTTTTAACCACTTATGATGATTTCTGGGTTTGTTCACCAAAGAGGTTTTAGTTACAGAGGTCTGACATAAGAAAAGACATAAACTTAATAGTTTAAAACAATAAAAATGTATTCCATCATAGTTCTGGAGTCTAAAGATTCACAGTCAAGTTGTCACAGGGTCATGCGTCTCCTGGAATCTCCCCTTGATTCTACAGTTTCTGGGGCCCAGATGTGCCTGCATTTATGGTTGCATCCCTCCAATCCCTGCCTCCATCTTTATATGACCTTTTCTTCTTCCTGTATCCTTGCAAAGACACTTGACATTGGACTTAGGGGCCAGATAAGCAGAATGACCTCTTTTTGAGACCCTTCATTGCATCTGCAAAAACCCTTTTTTCAAGTAAGGTCACCTCACAAGGTTAGGGTTTAGAATGGGAACCTACCTTTGGAGGGCCCCCATTCAACCCTAAATGTCCACTGGCTGTGTTCAGTGCAAAAGCTACAGAAGCCCCAACCCTAGAGAACTAATGCAGCCAATTGCTGGACTTTTGTTCTGTTTTGATTTTGTTTGGTTTTTTTAGAGGTAAAATAGGAGTATGTGAAAAGACACACGCAACACATTCTTTAAAAGTCCAAGTGAATATGATTCTAATTAAAAATGTAAGTGCCAGAGGGAAGGAAAATAAAGATAGCATCAGAACTGGGTAAGGATATGCCAACAAAAAATGTCTATCAGAAAGAGGAGTTTTGTAAGGGAGAAAGGCTATACAGATGGAAGGAGAAAGTCTAGATAAGGCACAGAAGTAGGCATGGGAAGGGCAAGTGGTCGATGAGGAAGCAAATGAGTCTGTTTAATTGGAGTGGCTATTGCTGCATGAGGGGGCATGCTGGCCCATCAGCTAGTGACACCAGAGAAGCAATGGCATCTTCAGGGATGCCTCAGCCGTGGTTTGGGTGAACTGTTAAAAGAAGTACCTGGAGGCCCTCCCTGGTGACACAACGAGTTAGGACACAGCACTGCGAGCTGGTACAGCTGCTTCAGTGAGAGTTCGATCCTCCACCACAGAGCTGACCCGCATGGCAAGGCAGACCTCTCCTGTCTGACCCGCTGCTTTCCTCAGCAGTGTGTTTCCTCAACCTGCCTGTTCTGCTCCCCACTCTAATTCTGGTGAATCCTCTCAGCCTCCTGCACTTCTGGCCTACACCTAAGCTCCTGTATGCATAAATAATCTTAAAAAAAAAAAAGTAGCTGGAAAATTTATAAACATGGAAAGAAAAGAATCTAGACTCTCAAACCTTAGAATGTTAGACCTGAAACATACCTTAAGATTACATGTTACTGATGATTTAAGCCCCTAAAAATTATTGTCATAAGGATTATACATGAGCTGTTCATAGCATCTGCAAGATAAGCTGCAAGATATACCCATTTTCTAGATGAGTAACTAGACACGTGGCTTGGCTGAGCAACTTGGCAGTAAAGCTAAGATTAGGCGGGAGTTCATCTGATCCCCAGTGTGCTTCTTCCACATGGAAAAGCCTTCCTAATATTACCCACATAAGTCAGTGAGAGACTTCAGATTCTCTGTGGTACCTGGTGCCTTGATCTGCTCTCTCAGGCGGGCAGGCAGGTGCTCACAGCGCTCATCAGGAGGCCTGGGCTTAGAGTTGTTTCCGGGTTTGGTGGCCTGTGAGGTGCACGTGAATAAGGAGCTGCTGGTGCCTGAACACACCGGGCCCCTGAAATTTCCAGGCGGTCTCTTCCACCCTTGTAGCCCACCTTCACGCAGGCTGGCTCGTTCCCATTCCAACTTACAGTGCTCAAGGCTTCCATGACCTTTTCACTTCCAACTCCAAAGTACACCAGTTCCAGTTTAGAAGGTGGACTGAAAACTGGACATGAAGCCCATTTTCCTAGCCTGAGGCCCAGAGAACATTTCTCTTTAGATTCGGTTAAAACATTTCTTGCAGTCACTAGCAAGACTAGTTCAAAGAGAAGGAATAATAGGACAGCTCCAGTCAAGGGGACGTAGATGACAAAGTCTGGGTGTGTATCCTAGCCCACTGCTGGCTGTGTGCACTGCAACAGATCACATAAACTATAAGAGCCTGTTTACCATCAGAAAAATATGCATAAAAATAATTACAAACAAATGACAAAATGCATGTGAAAGCAAGAAAGGCCAGGCTAAATGCTAGATATTATGTTCACTGTTCTTCTGATCCATGTGTAGTACTACAGCTAGATATCTGGCTTCCTAAAGAAGATTCCAGAACCATTCTTCAGCCAAATTTCTGGACATATGCAAATGTTGCAAATAACAGAAACCAAAATTATATCAGTGTTGCCTACAACATGGATTAGAAAATGACCCTACAATTTTAACATAAGTTAAATGTTACCTATAATTAAATTTACTGAAATAGAATCCATAAGTCTCTATGAAAATATGTTTAATGAAAATGAAGGGGCAGGGAGGCAGAAGACCTGACTAAGAAGAAGACTCAGCCATCCTGGAAGTCTTTAGTTCTGATGATGAAAGTGTGACTTGAGTAGGATGAGAGGCACAGAGCTAATACTGCTGTGAAGGTGACGCACACTCAGGGACCCAGATCACCCGGGCAGACAGAAACTGCCAGTGAAGAGTCCATGATAGAGAGGACCAAGCTGGCCCAGATGGACGATTTCAACTCCAGGAACAGTCGCTCCCTGTGTCACTCCACAAAAACAGAGCCACGTTCCACTCTTGATTTCTGACTTTCACAGACAATGGAGAAAGTGATCAAAGGAAACAGCTTTTCAAGCCTGATGGGCGAGGAAGTCATTCAGCACACCTGAACTGAGCGTGCACACCCCGCTACCTGCTGTCGGCACAGTCACAAGTAGCAGCAGCATGTATGTGCATGTGTGTGAAGCTTACATTTTAACAAGGGAGACAGAACAGCAGTGGCAGGAGCTTCAGACTAATATGAATACTGATGGCAAGAAACAGAAGGACACTCCAACTCTTGCTTAAGCAAAATCTCAGCCTTGTGAAGAAAATAGAACCAAGGATGAACACCCCTCAGAAACCAAGGTAGCTTTTCACTCAGCTCTGTTTCTCTTGGCGTCTCCTTGACCTCTGTCTGCTGTGGTCTAACCATATTACTTTTCTTTTATAAACTGGCTGTCTGTTCCCAAAAGGTGTGCTGATGACACGCCACGTGCGGTCCTCAGTGTCGTTTCTGTTCAAAAGCGTCTCTTGTCTCACCAAACCAAGAGAGGTGAGTGTCACCATATTGAAACCCCAACATCCCCAGAAAGAAAACCACCCAACCGAGTCACGTCAGCTATCCACCCTGACAGTCAACTGAGTGGTGAAGATGGGCGCTGTCAGGTTCTGTGGAGCAGAATCTTTGAGACCAAGCCACCTGAGGAGGAATTTTCCTGACTTGGTCACGGAAAAAAGAAAGAAAACTTGATGTCACTTTCAAAAATTTTATGATAATAGAAATTATATAATAATAATGACAATAACAAATTATATAATAATAGAAAATTCCTTTGCACCAACAGGTAAAATCCCAGGGAGGCATAATTCAGCACATTTGTTTTTAAAAATCTAATAGTGTTATTTTTCTCTACAAATGGAATGGGCTGCTTTGTTGGGACACAAGTTTTCTAAGGAAAAGAGAATTGACTGACATGGTGTTTTTGTATCAGATGGATTCTGCTTCTAGAATTATTCTTAATTAGGAGCAGCCTTCCTTGGTTGGCCTTAGAATGCGGCGTAATTGAATTTATGCACAGAGAAGCAGAAATACTAAGAAAATGGCATAACATGCATATATTTTTAGGCCTTTCTTCCCTCACCATTCCCCCAGAAGAGGGCTGGGATGAGAGCTTCATCCTGAACATGTCACATGAACTCTGCTCCCTGGTAAATCAAGAAGAGGAAATCAGTGGCAGCCAGCCACAGCCTTAAAGCATCGGTTTGTCTACTGCCCTGGTCTGGATGTATTAGCTAAGCGGTGAAAACACCAGCTTACACCAAACCCGTCATCAGCTCCCAGGCGCCAAGACTGTCCAGCCTTAGTGTTTTGTGCACCCAGCAGTGTTTCCTGGTGGTGCCTCCTAAACTGAAGGCTGCTGCACTGAAGAGCCAGCCTGTCAGCGCGGCACTGCATCTCACCACCCACGCAGCTCAGACAACATGGCCCCAGCGCTAAAGACATGCTAGCACCATGCTGGGCGCGGAAGATGCAGAGTCAGGCCCCAGGAAGCTGCCCTGGGCCAAGGAGGACTACTGGAAAGATCCTGAGATGCGACGCTGGCCAAGAAGGAGAGACCAGAGTGGACAGAGGAGTGCCAGCGGGGTGGCCAATGGAGGACTGTGAAGACAGACAGCAAGCGGCACCCCCCTGTGACAAGTCTATTCTGACAGAATTGTATTTATTAAGTGAGATTGTGCTTTGCTTTACTTTTTCAGGGACCTGAAGCTAGATAATATCCTGTTAGACAAAGATGGACACATCAAAATCGCGGACTTTGGAATGTGCAAGGAGAACATGTTAGGCGAGACAAAGACCAACACCTTCTGCGGAACCCCTGACTACATCGCCCCAGAGGTAGGCATGAGCGGCTCCCGCTGCTTCCGCCAAGCCTAAAGGCGGTAGATTCCGGTATTTTGGTTCAGGCTTGGTTTCTGAGTATTTTCATCAACATGGCTAACTGTAGAGGCTGCTGCTGTGGGGGGCGGGGAAGAGGGGTCCTTACGTCACTTCTCCAGAGCTTCAATGACTCAGTGGGTTCTTTCCACCCCACCCTTAAAATAGATCCACTCTGCACAGACCAATCCTAAAGAACCAACTAATGATTAAAACAGACTCACAAGTCTCCACTTGAGTCAGTCCAGTGGTTTCCTTTGGGGGCTAGCAAACCTGAAGGCCTTTTCCAAGCTGCCACCTATAGCACGGGCTGGGGGCTGAGGTCCCACAGACATGGCACTCTATGCACCAGAACCACTTTGCTCAGAAAGGGGCACCAATTCAACTCTGCACCTCTCCCCTGTCCTGCCAACCCCCAGCTGTCTGCCCAGGGGGATGGACACCCCCTTACCATCAGATCTCTCCAAAAGTATAGCACTTATGGGTACTCTTCTACTTTTGAATTTCCTTGGACAATTGCTTTAAGTTCAGGGGTTGTTCCTTATTCACTTTTTAAAAACCTTTTTATTTTGAAACAACTATAGCTTCATGAGAATTTGCAAAAAAAAAAAAAAAAAGTACAGAGGTGGCACCCATATGTCCCCTTCAGCTGCCTGACCCCAACGATGACATCTTATATGACTATGGTTCAATACTAAAACCAGGAAGTTCATAGGTACAAGGTGTGTGTGGTTCTGCCCCATTTCATCACAGGGGTGAGCACACAGCTGTGTGCTCATCCCCTTGACCTCCCCAGGGCTGAGTGCAGGGATTGACACCAGAAGGTACTAATAAACCTTTTGGGGGAATGAACCAGTGATCAAATTAATAAATGTGTGATGGGACATGGTGGTTGGATAAACAGCAGTGAGCTTCTGATTTTCTGGGTGAAACAAATTTAGCGACAAATCCTTATCCTTACCAAAGTAACGTGGTACCCTGAGTGTAAGGAGTATGTGGCATGTGCTCATGTGCTGCTGAATTTTCTTTTAATTGTTTTGATGCAAGACCGGTGGTCACTTAGGACCAGTGCTTTCCTGATATCCACATCTGCATGGTGAGCCTCAAACAGACTTAACGTTCGGGCTCTGTGAGGCCGATGGCATGGCAGGTATCCCTCACTATAGGAGACAGCAGGACTGTGACAAAGGGACAAAGTCATTGTTATCTAAATTATTTGATTAATGTTAGAAGGGAAAACAAGACAAAAGCAGATGAGATCATAGGAAGTCACCAGGGGCTGGACTAAAAGTGGCAACAGCAGTCAGTGATTTGCACCATGGTTGCAATAAAGACAACACGCACATGACCACATCAGACAAAGGTTTAAAACCAGGAGACAGCATAAAACAAAAGGAGCCTCCTGTATTAAAATCCCAAAGGACGAGGGTCAGAATTTAGCTTTCAGCTATTAACTCGAGGACTTTAAAGAAGACATTCACTCCCTAAGTCCAATCACCATCCTTTGTTAAGTAGGGTTGACACTGCTTACTTCAGGGAGTCCTTATAAATAAAAGACAATAAAATACCCACATGCATTAAGCAAATATTCTGTGTATAACTGAGTGTGTATCTGCATCTTGCCTCTTCCCCCTAACTTACACCTGAAATTCGTTTTTAACATCACCTAGCTTTGGAGACTTCATTTTCACGGCAGCTCTCTCCTGTCCTCCAAATTGCTTTTTATTCCATATGAAGCTGTTCACAAAGCAGTGCTGCTCAGAGCAATTTCTGGTTGCTTTTGGGCTCCCCCTTGTGGATCTTCTTAGGAATTCCATGTGAACCACTTCCCGGTTTAAGGCAAATCTTTGAACTAAGATTAGGAATGTATGCATTTTTTTTTTTTTTTAACATTCTCCCAAGTCTAGTTTTAATTTTTCTTTCTTAAGGAAAAATTGGCTTTCACTAAATTTTGTAGTAACTCTACTATCTGTGATTAGTTAGGGCTAGCAGATAGCAATTTTACACTAGCCAATGACAGATGGGAAAATCGATTTGCAGCTCCATCTTTATGTTCAAACAGGTACCAGTTCATCATAACAGATACTTAGCTAGTCCTTTCTATAGGACACAGCACCTTTTCTTATTTTTTCCCTGGATTTTTGCAATAACCCATAGTAAGCTGGCCAGTTAGTACCACCACTTTTCACAGAAGAGGCCCAAGGAGTCCAATCCAACACTACACAACAAGCCAAAGTAGAACCTGCAACATTTTGCATGGTCAGCATGTTTGCTGTATGGTTGTCTGTTTAGAAAGCCTTAGGCTAGAAACTCTAGGGTGCCTCCAAGACTCACTGAAAGCTGAGCTTGTATCCAAGGACAGGAGAGGTGGGACAGGGTCCGAAAAGTCACATTATTCCACTGCGTCAACATTCAGCAACACGAAGACACGCCCCTTCCCAGGAGACACAGTGACAGCTAGACTGTAGGGTTGTTTTTCTTTCTAAGGCCATCAGTGCTGAGTCTACCATGCCTTCCTCAGGCGCTCTGAGGGTGAGAAGTTTCCAGTGAGGAGCACCAGCAGCAAAATGACCTCTGTGTGTGTGTGTGTGTACGCACGTGTGTACATGCACATGTATATGCTTACACCATGTGCTGAGCAAAGACCAGAACCAAGTGCAAGTAGAAAGCAGGGCTACCCCACGTGGGGCCAGCCGTGCCTTTGAGAATAAAAACCTCCATACGTTGCCCCTTGTGGCTCTCAAGGTAACAAAGCAGCTTGCCTGCCCCTGTCCTGGGGTCTGCAGCACCAAAGACAAGGATTTCTCTTCTCTTTTAACAAACTGCCCTTGTGTTCCTACTATGCACGCATTTTAATTGTGGTAAAATATCCCCGTCATTAAGTTTGCCATCTTGAACATTTTTAAGTGTGCGATTCAGTGGCTTTAAGTACACTCACACTGTTGAGCAGCCAACTTGCAAGACATTCTCATCCTGTGCAGATAAAATTCTATGCCCATTAAACTTTTGAAAAAAGTTCCCTTTTCTCAAAGACTCTAGCAATCACCATCCTCTTTTCTGTCTCTACAAAATTCACCGCTCCAGGCCCCTCATGTAAGTGGGTCATACAGCATTGTCATTTTGTGACTTGCTCATTTCACTTAGCATAATGTCTTCCAGGTTCGCACATCTTAGAGTATGTGACATAAATTTCTTCTTTTTAAGGCTGAGTAACATTCTATGCACACAAAAAGCACACTAGGTTATGCATTCGTCTGCTGAGGGACCCTCTGTAGTGGCTACATCAGTTTGTTAAGGTGACATCAGTGCTCCCTTCTTCCAACACTGAATTGGGAAGTTTCTGGAAGCCAAGATATAATGGCTTTTCTGCCAGGGAATGGTAAAGTCTTTTAAAAGTTAGCTGGGATTCCAGACTTTATCCCTAAAGAATAAACCCAGACCAATTCCACTGCACCTACCACTCTCAAGCTGAATGTGAACTTGCTGAGTCTTGGAATTCTGAACTTGGCTAGCTTGTTATCCTAGGACCTCTCTCTCAGCAGTCACAGTTTATTCTCCATAGTGGTGACCACAAATGCAACTTCTTATTTGCACAGCAATGGCAAGTGAGGCAGGCTTTAAAGAATAGGGTTGGTCAGGTGACCTCTCTAGATGCTATGTAGAGAAACCGTGAGAAGACAGGACAGCAGAAATGAATAAACACATGGGCTTGGTTTAGATATTCACTCGGGACTAAAGAGCTGAGACACACACCAGCTTCCCAGGTCTCATACCCACCACCCACATTCTCACCTCAGGTACCATCACCCAAGGTTACAGCACATTTCAGTTAGCCACAGCCAGGTGGAAGGGAGAAAATGAAACTCGAATATATACTTGGCATTGGTCACTCATTTATACCCAATCATTAGCTTCTCAAAAGATAGCTTTCAGTGATTTTGGTTAAAACCATGTATCATCATTACTACCAATTGTTTATCACCCTGGATTTTCACTCATCAACTGCATTTTTATTAATTGTGCATCCACGCCTCTGGTCCCACAGATCTTGCTGGGACAGAAATACAACCATTCTGTTGACTGGTGGTCCTTTGGCGTTCTCCTCTATGAAATGCTAATCGGGCAGTCGCCTTTCCATGGTCAGGATGAAGAAGAGCTGTTCCACTCCATCCGCATGGACAACCCCTTTTATCCACGATGGCTTGAAAAGGAGGCCAAGGACCTTTTAGTGAAGGTAAGACTGTCAAGGAGACTTTCCAATTTTATTCACATTCCTGTCTTCACTTTGTCTCGTAATTGAAAAGCATGTCAAACCAGACTGAAATGGGAGTCTCGCCATGCCTGTTTTAACTAACACCGATATGGCGAACATCAGTTATCAAAAAGGTAAATGGTAAACCTACATGTGTATAATCTATAGAAGAAATGCCTGGGAATCAAGTCCTCGAATCTTTAATGCCCTCTTCTGCTCCTGGCTGAAAGTCTGGATGGGATATATGACTTTTCTACTCACTTCACAAGAAAGACAAACCTCATTATCACTCTTAAGTTATAAAGCACCATCTCAGTTGAGAAATGTAAATTCTTCAGTCCAAAATGTAAGTCATCAATCTCAACGTGAAAGCAAAGACTTGTGCTCACTAGTCTCTGGTCCAAGTTCATGGCCAACAGCTGCTCACCTTTGGAGAAGGTTGGAGTCACTTGTCTCTTTGTCCTCTTCCTCTCCATCTCACAAGTTTTGTTTTTAGATTGTAGCAGGACAGAAGCAGGGAGAGGATGGAGAAAGATCTGTTCTACGTGGTTGGGTTAAATTCATGTTCTTTGAACCTGATAAGATGGTTAAAGCCATGACTTCTGTGAGGCATTCTAGAAAAGTCTTTGGAAATACCTGGCACTGGGGACGTTTTTAGCCAAAGCCTTTGAGAGATAAGTGTTCAGTTCATTCCCCAGCCCAGCTACTGTACCAAACCCTGGTTCAGCAACATAACATCTCACTAGGAAACTCACTGCTCACTGTCCCGGGGTGCAGGCTTTCTGAGGCAGTTCTTACTGTAAATGCCAGCTCTCCTGCCTGCCATGTTCCTACTGTGCCCAGTAGAAACACTGGCGTACCCTTCACCATAAAACTGGGAGTACAGGCTGTCACCATCATAGAAGTCCCAGAATTCATCAAAGTAAGAGTTAGACTTCTGTGCATCACCACCTGGGGTGCACTAAGAACTGGTAAACGATGCTACAGCTGTAAATGAATACTGAGACTCACTAGCCCTGAGCCACCAATGCAGAGATGTAAGAAGCACCTGAGAATCACAAAGATTTGGGCTTTATTTATGCAAAACTGTTTGCATTCCAATCTCACTAACTGATTTTCACTGTTATCTTTTAGAATGCAAAATCATTTCTCATTTCAAATGCAAAATCATTTATCATTTAGAATGCAAAATACTACCTACAATGTCTGGGTGTAACAAGTTGTAAGAAATAAACCATGCTAATGCAGGCTTATTGCATTAGCTAAACCCCTCTGGCAATTCTCAATGAGAGAGACCAACCCATGTGATCAAGAGGTTAGCAAATCTAGGAGAACTGGATCAAGAATGGAGGTGTGTAGACAAAGCAATGTTTTGATTTCTACTATCTCCTATCTCAGCAGGCTAAAAAATAATCATTTAGGGAAATGATTTTTAGTCTTCCTCTTCCTATACTGAAAATGAGAATGGATGTTGACCCTTTAGAAGCTATCAATGGATCTGAAACATAAACTTAGATCATCAGGCTCATCTTTATTCCACAATCTACTTTTTTTCCATAAAGAAATACTTGAAATTAAATGTAAAGGGCATATACTTCCACCTCCCCAATACAACTAACAATTTGTCCAGGGTTTTAAAAATACTGAGGTAACTCTGGCATGCTCCCAGGAAATCAAGATTTTGAATCTGAAGTGCTAACAATGCCCTCACAGGATATCTAGTGCCAGGCTGAGGTATTTAAAAATCTAAGCCAGTTCAATTCAGCTTTCACTTTCTGACTGCGATCCAAGCAAGCAGTACATTTAGAAAACTCCCCATATGACCAATTAAATGCACTTTTAGTAACGAACAAAGCACATCTAAAATGAAAACTGATTTCAGAATTAACCAATTAAAAATAAAAAGATAACAGTGAAAATCAGTTAGTGAGATTGGAATGCAAACAATTTTGCATAAATAAAGCAAGTTCAAACATTATCATAGCTGCTACATTTACTTTACAGTTGGTTCTCTGAAAGAATTAATGCGAGGCAGTGCCAGCTGTGAGAGCATGCTGGGTGGCTTCCACAGCAGAGTTTATTCACTCACAGTTCTGGAGGCTGGAAGTCCAAACCGAGGTCCAGCAGGGTCATTTCACCACAAGGGCTCTTCAGGCTGCTGCTGGTTGCCTTCTCACTGCAATCTCTCAGTCCAGGAGAGCTCTGCTGTCTCCTCTTGTAAGGACTGATCCTGATGGGTCAGCGTCCTATGACCATGCTTAAACCTAGAGACTTCCTTACTCCAAATACAGCCCTGTTGGGAGTTGGGGCTTCGATGAGAGAAGTTTGAGAGGACACAGCTCAATCAATAGCCTGAGATCTACAAAATGGCACAACAAAGCCCACCAGAAAGAGAAAATAAGGAAACAGCTTGGGGCTGCCAGAAGGTCCTGAGCAACAGCTGTCTCCCCCTGCACACACTGATGGCACGAGCCGAGCAGTCGTGCTCCCCAAACCCAGTGCCATCCCAGCACCTGTGAGAGCTCCAGGCAAGGCATTGGTCACGGAGGGTCAGAAGGAGTTCATCAGCAGGAACTCCACAGAAAGAGGTGGAAGACATGGTCTCAAAGGAGAGAAAGATAGATTAAGAAGGAAAGGATTACTTCAGGTTGGAGAAGAAAAATTGTGTGTGTAGAATGCTACTCAGCAATAAGAAGAAACAGACTGGACACACACACAACGTGGATGAATCTCAAGGGCATGATGTTGAGTAAGACAGTCACTCTCGAAGTCCACCTACCAGATGAGTCCACTTACGGAACATTCTCGAAGGGCAGCACTGTGGAGACAGAAGTCAGAACAGCACTGCAGGGGTCAGGGTGGTAGGTGCAGCGGGATGACTTTTGGGGACAAACCGAGGGGGATCCATGTGGGAACGGAGCAAGTCTGTGTTTTTCCTGTCACAGTGGTTACTCACATCTGTACCAGTGTAAAATGGCAGGAGTAGCAGCCCCTGTGGCAATGCCAGTCTGCATTTTGCTGTTATACCCTATCTAGCTAAGATGCCAACATCAGAGAAAGTGAAGAGCAAGCAGGAGCCTATGTAGTCTCTTTAACTTGCTGTGAATGTATTTCCCCAAAATTCATACACTGAAACTCTCAACTCCAATGTGCTGTGTCCCCCCAAAATTCAAATGTTGAAAGCTCTAAACCCCAATGCAACAGTTTTATGAGATGAGGCCCTTGGGAGTTAGAGAGTTAGGTTTAGATGAGACATCAGGCTGGGGTACTTTTATAAAGGTCACAATGGGATTCATGTCCTCACAAAAAGAAGAGCCTCTTCTTCTCTCCCTCTGACAGGACACTATGGGAAGGCCACCTGAGTGCACACATGGTCCACACAGGCCCTGCTGGGCTCTGCCTTGCCAGACTCCAGGACTGTGAGAAATAAATGTCCTGTTAAGCCACCCAGCATGTGGCATTTTGTCATAGTCACCCAAGCAGACTAAGACACTGTGATTACTTCAAAATTTTTTAAACTCAATTTAAGGCTAAATGCCATGCATAATGCCAAAAAATGGTCATCTGCAGAGTTTCAGTGGCAGAAGAAAAAAAAAAAAAGATTTGCTACACGATTAGAAAATAACCTTGGTGGGCCCTCCCTGGTGGCGCAGCACAGAGAAGCTTAAGCCACTTCCGCATGAGTTCGATCCCCGCCTGCCCCGGAGGTGACCACATGGTGAGGCAGACCTCTCCTGACCCGCTGCTCCCCTCAGCAGTGCACTTCGTAGATCTGCCTGTTGTGCTCCCCACTCTGTCTCTGGTGAATCCTCTCACCCTCTGCATCTCTGACCTGTACCCCAGTTCTGTACGAATAAATAAATAAATCTTTAAAAAAAAAAAAAAGAAAGAAAATAAGCTTGGTAATAGAGCAGAAACTAAGACAATTAAGGATAAAGAGGGGGGAAGAAATGATTGGTGAAAGAGGCTTAATCCAAAAAGAAGAGCCCAGGCCTATCTTTCCACCAGAATTAGTAAAAATTCCAGGTAGTTGATCTATGGGGAAGATTGTTCTCTTGAATATTCTAGCAATTGGGCCGATAAAAACTAATTTTCATCATGCAATTTGCTAAGCTTAAGAAAGACTAGTTTTATCCCTGCCCTTCACTGGGGGTATAACGTTGTGCCAATAGTCTGGAGGTCCTGTCTCTGCAAAATAAAATCAAAGGCAAAACCATTTCTGAGACACTGACTGCAGGAGATTTTACATCATGTTGTGAGCCCCAGAAGTAACAGGGGCCCTGGGAGGGCTGAAGCATCCGTAGCATACCCCATCCTCTTTCGCCCTTGAGGACAGGGTGCAAGGGGCAAGGGGCCCGCTGAACAGCTGCTCGCGCAGGAGAGGCCGAGCTCACCACCAACAGCAGCCGCGACATGCTGTTCACAGGGCGGCTGTCCTCACTTACTCATTCAGGATGTCCCATCCATTTGTTTGGGAAATGAAAAAGTAATGATCTCAAACAGAACTACCCCTCCCTTTCATAGAAAGCGATAGCTGAGCCAGGAGGGAAGGGTGAGAGGCTTCCAATGACAGTGCTGAGTCCTGGGATCATCCTTAGCAACCCAGGACGGTTTTTTCGCCCAGTCAAATAAATTTAAACAGACTCTGGCTACATCCTGGCCATTTGTGCTATTTCCTACAAATGTAAACCACCCTTCTGACAGCTTTTAGGGACAAATGCAAGTCTACCTTCATTGCTATTTATTCCCTCCACACAGCTTCCCTGCTGCAGGCCTGTGACCTCCTGTGGGGTCATCCTCATCGCCAAGACATGGGGGCTGAAGAAGGGAGATCATCTGATTTTCTACAGGGCAGAGAAAATGATTTTTCTCTTCTGAGCAAAACTAGAAAGACTCTAAGACTATTGAAGTTCAAAGCTGGTGGTTATATTGATAATCTCCTCAGTACACACTTTATCTTTAAAGAAATGTTTTTTTATTTCCCAGGTACACATGCCAGGCACAGAAGACTCTTTATCATAATCCTCTCAGTACAAAGGCCACAAGTGACTAGAAAAGTCTAGGAAAAGCCTAACAAAGTGCGCACTTCGCCTCAGGGCAGTTATTTCTCATTTAATTCCCTGAAGTGCTTCATTATAACAACAGGAGCTAGTTTGGGGCCAATTCCTACGGCATTTATGTCCTCTCTCTCGTCTCGTTTCATCTAGAGGTCCTTCCAAAGTGGAGGTCAATCGTTTTAGTAGCATCTCAAGGAAGGAGCTATGGGACAAGTCACATATTCCCTCTGCTTCTGAAAAATCAATCTGCTTTCCCATCTGTTGACTCATCCTGTTATTTGAGTCTAAAGAAAAATATGCTCTACTGTGAACTTGGTGCCTCTTCTTTATGCAGAAAATAGGAGGCTAATAGAAGATGAAGACTGAAGACATGTGGCCCGAGTAAGTGGGAAAGACAGCTAATCTACTTACTCAGCAAGCACTGAGCATCTACTTGTGTGGCTACCCTGCTAGATCCCGAAAGAGTACCTGTCCCCCAGGGCTTACCGTCCAGTGGGAAAGATGGTCTTGGGGAAATGCAGTGTGCTGATTTCCCTGGTGGAGGAGATGCTGGAGGATGTGGGGCGAGGCTATTCAACACCAAAGCCTGAGGGCTGCTTACACTTTCAGTTCTGATGCCTGGACCTGTGATCTTGAGCAAGTTACTGAACACTCTGAAATGTTCCCTCAGCTGACAACTGGGATAACCACAGCAGCTTGCAAGCTTGCTTCTAAATCAGGATGGCACAGTTGCACAACGTCCTACTCTTAGAGAACACTGCTTGGAATGGATGGTGCGATCAACTACCTGACCGTGTGAGGAGCCTGGAGGGGAGGGTGAGCACACCATGAGCTGAGGTCACCTGAGAAATCTGCACAAAGAGGGGGTGTTATATAAATCCTGAGAGGTGGGTCAGGATTTAAAGATGAGGAAGAGAAACATGGAAAGAAGCATCTCCAGACATCAGGGAACAAAGAAGTGTGGTCTCCTCAGTGGGGGGACAAGTCTGGTCAGCAGGATGTTGACAATGGGCACAGAAGGGCAGAGAAAGCCTGGAAGGCCCACCCAGGGGGGCTGGGAAATTAGAACTCACTTTGAATTAAAGAAGATGGCCTTTCAATCAAACCTTTCATTTTGCAGATGAGGAAACAGACTCAGCCATTCACCTGCCCAATGCGTGGGTTGTCAGCCCACAGATGACAATCTCGTGTTATTTCCACTGTGTAGCGTCTTTCTAATGGGGTGCTTTGGAACTCTAAGTTTCCATTGAGAAGTTCAACAGCTGCCATTGGGGAGGGGTAAAGAGGAGAGAAGTTAGGACCGTGCAAGCAACTTACCACTTAGACTCAGTGGTGGCTTTGATTTAGAGCTTAAAAAAAATATTCCCCTAATTTTAAAAGGGAAAAATAATCTCCACTTTGCATGTTATTTTAGTAGAGCAGAACTCAAACTTCCCATGCAGTTAGGGAACATAAGCAGAGCAGTGTTTTAATCTAAGCAGGCTAGTTGTTTTTAGAAGAGGTAAAAGCCAGAGCTCCCTGCAAACTTAGGTGTGGATGGAGGTCAGGTCTGGCCAGAACCGCATGGAAAATCCTGCATCTCAACAGGGCTTCTGTTCCAAGACCCATGCCTCCATGTAACACCCCATAACAAGAGGTCACTTTATACATAAACATGGAGCTAAAGTAAGAAAAGGGATCAGCTCCTGGGGGCCCAGGGACTTTTCCAGTTTTCACTTTGGGACTCTCCTAGAGTTTAATGCCCCTGACACATTTTACATTTCAAGAGTTTCCAAGTTTCTTTCGTGTCCTTGCCAATGCCCGTTTTAACCCGAGGGGATAAGTAACAGAAGAGGGCTCAGTGCAAAGAGGAAAATACATATGGAACAGGTCAGCGATAACCAAAGATGGCCTTTGAATAAAATGCCGTGTCCAGCAGGTTGGCAATAAGAAGGGCTCTCAGCCTCAGAGCCTTAAAAAGGCCAAAGCTAACTGTCAGGGATTAGTATTATTCTACCCAAAGTAAGCTTTTCCTACAGCAAGACTGTAATGCTAAGAAGGCTGCTTTCGAAGAAAGCAAATTTAATTAGCAGGCAATCAATCAAACAAATAAATTAAGTGGATTTAAATAAAGTTAAACACTCAGAATAAAATGAACTATGCTGCTGAGTCTTACAAACAGGAATCAGTGCACACCTTTACCTCTGGGTGGGTGGATGTGTTAGCATGAGTGTATGTATTGTCACTTACCCCTGAGCACAGCCCTGGAGAAGAACACTTCACTCACTTTACAGGTGAGGAAACTGTGACTCAGAGGTCCCGAAATAGCACAGGACACAGCTTCTTTCAAAATGCGGTAAAATGGTTACCAGTCGCCAAGGGGCAGGTGGGCAACAGGAGCGTGGTGATTACGGGCACCAACTAGCAACCAGTAGACTCAGATTTAAGACTAATCGATTCAACGCACAGTATAGTTACTGTAGACAACAGTGTTGTACTGTAATCATCAAACCTGCTAAGGGACGAGATTTTAATTATTCCCACCGCTAAAAAAGTGGCAATTAAAAAAAAAAGTGGCAATTACTGTGATGACAGTACAGCCTGCGATCCTGACAATCACATCACAATGGCATCTTAACCTTAAATGTATCACTGCCATGTGTCAAATATATGTTTTTAAAAAAATCAAACCAGGTCTGTGTAAAAGATAACATTTCTAGAACAGAGTCAGGAAGCAAAAGCCCAGCATCTGTGGTGGCTCATCTGTGGGGAGAGTGCTGAATGTGCTAACTAGTCTGACTTGAGAGATGGTGGTTTATAAAAGTGAACAGGAAAATAAATCAAGAAAAGCAAGCGGCAAAGAGCCGGGTCATTATCTTTGCAGAGTCAAAAGCAAGTAGCCTGCAACCCATTCGTGGGAAAGACACCTCCATCTTTGGCTCAGGGTGCTTCCCTGGAGAAGTAACTTCCTCTTGCTCTCTTTCAGCTCTTCGTAAGAGAACCTGAAAAGAGGCTGGGAGTCAGGGGAGACATTCGCCAGCACCCTTTGTTTCGGGAGATCAACTGGGAAGAACTTGAAAGAAAGGAGATCGACCCACCTTTCAGGCCTAAAGTGGTAAGAACCTTCCCAAGTGGTATGGTTCAGCCTTTCTGGCTTTACTCCCAGGCTGCCTGCACCAGCCCACCCCTGGGTGCGGCTCCTGGAAGAAACTGCTTCTTAACCATGATTCAGGCTGCTTGATGAGTGGGGGGGCTGGAGGGTTGTTGCCCTGGTTCACAAAATTTAGCCTCTGAGATCAAATGTGCCTGCATGAAAAATGAATTGCCTTAACCCCACTGTCTGTGAGAAGCAGCCAGCAGAGGACACGTACTCTTTGCACAGAGTACACACAGCATGTCCGGTCACATCTTGAGCCCCAAGCTTATGTGTGAACCCTGCACCCCATGTCAGCAGTGCTGAGACTTTTTTTCCACACCACTTGTAAAGTTTACCTGATGTGTGTGATTTCTCCAGGTAGCTACATTCCCAATGACAACTGTTAGGTCTTCCTGGGCTTAAAGAAGAAATTGGTGCTTAAGGAAAGCCTGGTCTCTAAATTCCCGATGAGCTCCTGTGCCTGCGTGGTGTGTGCATGTATGACAATGTATCACTAGCAACTCACCAGCCCCCAGTTAAAGGGCAGGAGGATACATACAGACCTGGCCATCATCAAGTGCAGACAGAAGTAAAGCAAAGCTACGCTGAAAAGGCTTGCAGGTGAAGGGAGTGAGGGTGATAATGGCACACGAGTGTCCTGAATGCTCAGAACGTACACTCAGAACACCTAGTAGGGCCAGTGTTATGTTACATGTGCGTTAACCAAAATAAATGCTTTCTAAGAGCACAGGGTAGAATTGACCATTTTAGCCCTTACTGATGATGGCTTGGAACAAGGTAAGGAGCTGGGTAGCTAGAACAACTCCACTGTCTGCACTGAGATGCCCAGACTCACAGACTTCATTGCAGACTGTCACCTTAAAAACAGCTTCTGTCATTATCAGGAGAGTGGGTGACCAGCAGTTGGTGTGTATCCAAGGTTAGACGAGTTCTCAGCATTTGTCCCAAGGTCTGAGGATGATCTAGGGATTACACATTTGGCTCTTGTACTCTCTATTATTTGTAACAAATAATCTGTTAATGTAAAATGAATTTTCACCTTGTGTTAGCTGATCAGGAACAGTGTCATCCCTTGTAGATGATGACTTGGTATTTTACACATAAAAATCAGACCTCTGGCCTACGCATTCCCTGTAGAGCTATTCCCAGGTCTGCCCGTGGGACATGGGAAAGGGTTTCCCTAGCCAGCTGTCTCAGTAGTCAGGGGCCTCAGGTCATCGACCTCACCTGCTGGTGGGTAGGAGGGATGGTTCTGCAGGAAGGACCTGGTTCTCAGTCATGCTCATATCAACCAGTATCAAGGTGCCTTTTGATGATGGTTGTTCTGAATCTTTGAAGGCAGAATCCCACACCATTCTGAGCAGTATTTTGGAACAGGTGTTTGATTTTATGTTGTTGGTTTCCTGTCCTGGGTACCAGTGGACCAACTGGCTCACAGGGAACATTTCCCAGTCAGTACTAGCTATGAAACAGTCCCAGGTGCTTAATAATAAAATTCACCTGGGTAGGAAAACCAGTAGGGGTGAAGCTTTTGGGAAAATAGGAATATATCATTTGCTCAACTTCCTTTGTCCCTTCCCTTTGCCCTGGCCCTTCAGCCCCCCTGACTTTCCACCCCTGCCCTCACTGTCCCCAGGAAACAGAGGTCAAATTTGGACTGGGCACTTTTTCAAAGGTTGTCACTCCTATTTGTGTAAACTGTAAACTAGAAACACTGGATCCTATTTGAAGATATACCACAGAATTCCTTCAGATAAATTTAAGTATACCACTGATAAACTGATGACTAGGATTTTAGAGAGGGTCAATAAAGTCACAGAGGATCATCTGGGTGACTTCTGTTTAGTCTATCTGCAGATGCTAACATTGCGTGCAGACTGTAGCCTAGATGACTAACGATAATGAATTCAGTGGTTGACTTTCTTCTCTCCCCCACTCCCTTACACATTTATCCAGAAATCACCGTATGACTGCAGCAATTTCGACAAAGAATTCTTAAATGAGAAACCCCGGCTCTCATTTGCTGACAGAGCACTCATCAACAGCATGGACCAGAACATGTTCAGAAACTTTTCCTTCATTAACCCAGGAATGGAGAGGCTCATTTCCTGAGGCTCTTTCTCCGGACACCTGAAGAAATTTGAACTGGTTCAAGTGACACTTCTTGGGTTCCTTTTCAACTTGGAAAAGAAGAGAAACACTCAACACTGAAGGCTGAGACCTTTTAGCTCCTCACAGACTCTGTAGCAGGAAACCAAGTCTACTTCACTCACGACAGAACCTTTGGTTCTGTCCTGTCATCCATCACAGCCACTCCTGAGGTTAGGTCTTACTAAGTGTAGTTTATGTGAAAGATGGTTCTTGCACTGTGAAAGATTTGACAGCTTAATACTGCTCTAAATTACGGCTCTTCACTTGGGCACCAACTGCTGAGGAATGGAATGCTTAAGACTCAAAGACCAGAATCAGCTGGAACATCACAGGACTGGGCAAACAGTGCCTGGCACAGTGGATCATGCAGCCGCAGACACGTGACCACTAACCCACTTCATTCTGTTTACGTCTGTGAAAGTGTAAATGCTGGTGGGTGGGAGGAGCCCTAGTAGGTTTTATGGGAATTCTTCACAATAAACATAGCTTGTAACCTGAGATTTACAAATCTGTTCATTCTGATTAGCCATGGAATTCACTGGAAAGAGGAAAATGCAAAGTGGAAGAGGTCCTGTCACTAACAACCCAACACCTGCTGTGGTTACCGTGTCCACATAGGTGTTAGAATGCAACAAAGATGGCGTGGTTTTACTCCTGCTTATAATAATCCTATTCTGTCGATTTCAACACTGGTGATGGTCACCAGTTACCATCCTCATAGTATAACAAAGAAGGAAATAATTCCTCTAAGAAAAAAAGAAAACCAATCCCTCCTTTACCAGTACTGATGATCTGATGGCTCAGAAGTCTCTCTGCAGGCATCATTTAAAAGCCCCGGGCATGCTATTCGTAGTAGTCAGTCTTGTTTAGTTAGAATTCTAGCTCTACATTTTTAAAGTGTCTGTGCTGTTTGTATATTTTGATAAAACGTGACTTAATGACAGAAGTGGATCTGTAAAATTGGAATAAAAGAAATATGCCTCAATAGTTTAACTCCCTACTCGCTCCTTCATGAACTTGGTTCTGACATGGTCATCATGAAAACATACCTAGCATTGAGTTAAGGCTTTAAATCTGGGGAATCATTGACAGTCCCCCAGATGGGTGAGAAACGCAGGATAACCCTTGAATTATTGGTGTTTCACTCCCCTTTTCTTCCTAAAGAAGTATATCCTCTACGGCTCCCACACCCAAATTCTTCTCTGTCCTCTGCCCTCTCTCCTGCCATACATCCTCCAAGAACTACAAGAACTAACCTGCCACCAGCCCTTTCGAAATGCCCGCGGTCCTCCTCTCCTTCTCCAGTGTTTCTGGACAGAAGACCCTCTCTGTATGTCACCCCATTGCCCTAGTCCCAGCACTTTGCTGTTTCACCCCCTACTGCTCTGACTGCCCCAGGCTGGTCCTCCTCCTCCTTCCCTTCACCCTCTCTTGCCTTTGGGATCACTCCCGCAAGACATCCCAAACCCACATCTCCCGGTCTAGCCTTTCTGCCAGACTTCAAGGAATCTCCATCAACTTTTTCTGTTTTCTTATGTTCTTCATGCATCTTGCATTTCCTGTTCCTGTTTATGTCACCATCATTGACTAGTCATCACTGACTATCCCCCTTGCTGAGTCCCCCCCCCTTTTTTTTTTTTTTACTTCTTCGCTTCTATCTCTATAGTCTCTCCAAAACACACATTTCCACTAACTTCCTCTCCTGCTAACAGCACTGGATTATTTCATAAGCTCTAAAGAAGCTTCCCCATCTTAAGTCTCTCTCTCCCGTTTTAATTTATACACACACAAGATAATACAACACACTGTAGGGTAGGGAGAACTTCTCCTCTACCATTTTATGTAAAGTACCTGGGATCCTGAAAATTAAATATACAAAAGACAGTTATAAAGAGCAGTAGGTTTTCAGCCCTCCCTGGTGGCACAGCAGGTTAAAGCACAGCATTGGGAATCGAAAGCCACTTCCGCATGAGTTCAATTCCTGCCTGCCCCGGAGGTGACCACATGGCGCGGCAGACCTCTCCTGACCCGCCCGCTGCTCCCCTCAGCAGTGTACTTCGTCGGTCAGCCTGTTCTGCTCCCCATTCTGTCTCTGGTGAAGCCTCTCACCACCCCTGCACCTCTGGCCTGTACCCTAGTTCTGTATGCATAAATAAATAAATCTTTTTAAAAAAGAGCAGCAGGTTTGCACTGGTGGGCATAACACAAACACCAGAGTGCTCAGTGATGAGTAGCTCCCAGTGGCCAGAAAACTGGGTTTATACACTTAACTTAGTAGGTAAAAGAGGGGAGAGAAATGGCTCCTATGGGAAGAGAGAACTGGTTCCTTTAGGAGAGACAAGTGGTGGGTCAGAGAACAAAAAGGAACTAGAAAAGCTCGCAGTAATGTTTCTCCATACAGGTCTGGGTAGCCTCTCTGTCTTTTTCAAGCCCTAAAAACTGCTGCAGTGTGGGGAGATTCCAGCTAGGTAGATGTACTCCTGGGAGCAGACGTCCCCCAAAGAAGGAATTTATGGCAATCCTCATTACTCTGGTGTCTGCTTTTAGTCAGTTAAAGGAATTCCCAGAAAACCTCTTTCTACATCTGTTGAGTACCCAATTTTACTTAAAATAATCTTTATTTATGAAATACAAAAGCACTATCTTCACACATAAAGGTTTCTAAATCCCATTACGCTCATGCTCAAGCCCCACGCAACCTCCCTGGCCACAGCCGCCCATTCCCGCAGGGCCGTCCCATCCCACCTTCACTGCAGCCTGACCTACCCCGCACCTGTGCCCCAGCACTCTGAATTGTTCAGTGCTGCCTGAAAACATCTGTCGTCCTCTTCTGGGCTTCGTTGACACTAGTTTTGCAGCCCAGAAGGTTCCATTCCCACATGTTCAGTGTCACCCCGTCTCTCTGGCTCCGGGTCAAGTGTCAGCCCTGACTTAGAGAATTTGCCTGCAATCCCCAACATCTTTGCTGATTCTCCACCTCAGAGCCCACATATCGCACACCTCAGTAAGCTCCCACAGATTTTACTGCTCACCATTTTCCATCAAGCTAAGAAAGTGTTCTGTATCCCTTTTTAAGCTGTAAACTTAAAAATTCCCAAACTCTGAAACAAACTTCTGATGCTTTTAAGTCATCCAGTTTGTGGTAATTTAGCACAGCAGCTACAGGAATCTCAGAGCTACATGATACAGCAAGTGCCTCAGGAGAAGGCCACGGCAGTGTCCCTCCACCCCTCCCCCGGCTACCACCCATGGAATGGACCCCACACTCACGGCAGCCCCTCCCAGCACTGGTTTGGTGACTCGATTCCCAGGTCCTTCTGTCCCTCGGCTGCTGCCCATGTGGATTCTGATTCCGGCAAGCAGTTATTCTTCTTTGCTTTTTTCACCCCTATCTCATTTCTCTCTCCTGCCTTTTCCCCCTCACCTGCCTATAATACTCATCTCTGAGTGCAAAGATTCTTATTTGTCAGCTGACAGCTGTTTCTCCCTCATGTGGAACACACATATACTGTGGTTTCTATACTTTGTGTCAAAATAGGAAAAAAAATATTCAGCAGCACTTGTCAGGCACAGTATGGACGACCTATTCGAGGTAGGGGTTGGCCCAGTGCAGCAGGATCTTGCACTGGAGAGAGGCTGAACTCGCATCTGAACACAGCATGGTTAATGGGGGGTTGGTGGAAACCTCAGAAGGGGAATCCTGGCTACCACAACCAGACAGGATTCTTGCTGAAGGCAGCACAGGACAACAGGCCATCTTCTGGGGGCTGGGAGGGAATGCGAAACCTGATCAAACCTGATCAAGGAGGAAGGGTTCTGGTCACGCTATCTTAGCGGGATTCTGAGTGTAGAGATAAACACAGGAACCCCAAAGGCATGCTTGGCTGAGAAACTAATGAAAGAAGACCAAGGAATGAACGTCTAGTCCAGGAGAGAACCTTTGTAGTTAAAACAAAGATCAGTGTTAGCACAGCAAAGACTTTGGGGTTGAATTAATTGAACTGTTCTCCTGGTGCCAGACCTGCTTCCATAGCCAATCCTGAACAATGTGGCTTCCTACCATGAGCTCCTTGTTGAGAAGGAAAAATCTGGTTCCTGTGATCTCATTTGCTCACTGAAAGGTGCAGAGAGGTATGGGGTTGGGGGGCGGGGAGGCAGTACTGTGGGATGATGGCAGAGGGGACCAGCCAGACCCAGCCAGACCCCTGAAATCCCAGTTCAGCCTGACCAGCCTTGCAACATCAAGGAAGCCACTCACCTTCCTCAATGACACCTTCTCACCTATGCAGTGGGGCCCCCTGCTCACAATGTACGGGGTAATTGTGAGAATAAGAGATGTATGAAAAGTGCCCAGCGTAGTGAGGAGGAGCTGAGTGGATAAGAAAGCGACTGTGATCTTCTCAAGATTACCAGAGCCTGCCAGAAGACATTTATCTCTGTCATCTACCTACCCTATACTTAAGTATATTAATTAATATCTAGCTATTAATATATTGATCCACCACTATCTAGATCTGCATACAGAACTATAACTAGGGAAACAGACAGATTTAGATCAACCAAATAATACACTGACAAGCTTCCGTCTAATGTCTCACAAGTCAAGTCAACCAAGAGAGTAAGTTCTTATTGTCTGCTAAGCAGCCCAGAAACAGCCTCTCCAATGTTAACAGAGACTGTGCCTGCCTCCTTTGCCTACATAGCGAAGTGGCCAAACAAAAGATGCCTAGAGTGCTCAGTGGGAGGGAATTTGAGTCTGCGTCCTAATTAACAGAGGCCTTCAAGTTCAGAATAGCTTGCAGGTACAGTCTTTTCCATCAACTAACTGCAAAGAGATTTTAAGTCTCTTGGACTGCATCTGGTCCAGAATAATTCCAGCCCTATCCAGTGGAAGGGCAAATACAAATTAAAAATGGAGCCTACTTCTTCCTGTTAAGAATGAGAGACTTCAACGCTCAGGTTTTCAGAATTCCTTTCTCTGACCCTCTCAGATTTAGGTAAAACTTTATAATGGCTAACTAAACCCACACAGGTCTTACAACACAGAAATGTTTCTTAAGGACCTGGGAACCACCTTTCTGAAATGAAAACAAAAGGGAGGCAGCACCCTTGGGTCCTCCTTCCCTGGGAGAATGCCATTAGCCACTTTGCTTCAACTTGCAAAACTACCTCCTGTCTTAAATAGAGATGTTTGCTTCTCCTCTGGATAAAGCTAACATAGTTGGTTGTCCCAATTACCATGATAAAGTCAGAACAAAGATGTTGGCAAAAGGTTCTCTAAAGTCCCTTTCCTTGTGCACAACAGATTATAGCTGCTTGGTTATTTTAGGATCAAGACTCCTGTATCTTTGCAAGCTCTTATTGGATTTTCTTTGGTGTCATGTAACACCAGTTCAATGAGAAGATTATTTTGTTTTCTAATTACTATTGTGAATTGAGAGATTTTTGTTTTTTTAAGTTAAATTCCCCCATGCCAATTTTTCCTAGCTCTCAATGTGAGAAAGGGATTTAGCAAGATACAAGGAGAAGACTTGTTACTCTCTGCCTCCTAAAGCTAACCTATCAAAAAATAAAATAAAAATCTCTAACACTCTCAAAACTACACTCTGGGCTTCCTTCTAATACTTCAATAAAGACTAGAAAACCATCCAGGCAGTAGTCTGTTGTTTATTAAATATTTTTGTGTTTCCTGCTCAGAAAATCATCTATTAATTGTGCACCTACTATACATCTAGAAGTACCTGGCTTATCTGCCCAAAGAACTTTGTGAATTACCCTCCCAGCTCCTCATCTACTATGGTGTGTCACCCAAAATTTGGTAATTGCAGTTGCTGGAGATAAGATTTTTCAACCACATAATTTTCCTCCATTGAATAAACACTTTTCTCTGAACTGAGTGTAACATTCTTATGGCAAATCCCTAAAGCTAGTCTTTGGCTTTCTACATGTTAGATTGAAGAGCAGTTTCCCACACT